GAGGGAGAGGCAGGGGGTGGAGTGGCCTTCAGAGTGAGCTGAGGTCTCATTCCACAGGCCAAGCATCTTTTTGCGCCCCCAGCTCTGGCTCAAGGAATTCCTAGAGATCTGGGGGCACAGCCAGAGGAGGAAGGGATTTAGGGAGGGGCGTGACCTCAGCTGGGTAGAATACCATGAAGTCCACTCTCCAAAGCAGTGTCCCCTCTAAGCTGAGTGAGTGTGAGCTAGCTCACAGTTTTTTAGCCTCCGGCTCACACATTTTCGTCTTCGCTCAGGAAGGAGGGCTCCAAAGCAAACTAACTTAATGCAGTAGCCAAATCTCTCGCTCACCACTTTCATGCCGGTAGCTCAGAAAGTAGAATTTTTGCCCACAAGACTCCAGCGCTTAGAGGGAGCATTGCTCCGAAGTGGCTGTTTTCTCCAAGGGAGCTGCTCTCTACAGTCTGGAGGTCGGCTGTCATTCTGGGAGAGCTTTGGACCCCACCTGGAGATTGACAGCCGTAGAAGGAGCTCAGCGGGGGTGCGATACCACAAAGCCCACCCTTCAAAGCAGCCATTTCTTCCTGGGGAACAGATCTCTACGGTCTGGAGGTCGGTTATAATTCTGGGAGATCTCCTGGCCCTACCTGGAGGCTGGCAACCCGAACCCCCAGACCACTGACCCTCAAGGAAACAAAGGCCCGTCTTGGGGCATGGCGTGGAGGCCCTCATCCAGCCCACGCAGAAGGGCTCGCTACGCTCATGTGCCGGCGGGGAAGGGAAGGAGGAGGGGGTAGAGAAGGAACCAGGCAAAAGAGCCCCGAGTAAACAAGGGCGCTGGAATCTCACTCGGCTGTTTTCGAGCATCACCGCCGCTCCTCCCTCCCTCCCTCCAACCCGAGCAGGAAGAGAGAGAGAGGAAAAATCTTTCATGATGACAAACTTGGCTCAGCGCTCACTGTACATACTGTACCCGCAAAGCAGGCGGGCGGCCAGCCAGGCCCTGGCACCCGGCCAAGACGACTACAACAAACACAGCCAGCGTGCGCCAGGGAAGGGGGGGGAGAGGAGGGAAAACACAGCTGAGAGGCAGAGAGCGCTCGACACGCGGCCCGCGGCCCTCCGAGGAGACAAAAAAGCACAACGTGGCTGAGCGCTTCTTTGGAAATGGCTGCCCCTGGGCGGGGGGGGGGTTTTTTTTCCAGCCGGGTTTTTGAATTTCTTGTGCTAGAGGTAAGGAGGTGCCGTCTCCCCTCACACTTATTGTGTTTTTTTTACTGCATTTATACCCCCCCTTTCTCCCCAATGGGGACCCAAAGCAGCTTAAATCCTGTTTTATCCTCACAACAACCCTGTGAGGTAGGATAGGCTGAGAGTATGTGACTGGCCCTGGGTCACCCAGCAGGCTTCCGAGGCATGAGTGGGGATTCGAACCTGGCTCTCCCACATCCTAGTCCTACGCTCTATAACCACCACACCACACTGAACTGGTATTCAACACAACTGGAAGGCAGGCTGGGAATCCTTTCTGTGTAACTCACAAAGGGAGAACCACCCCGCAGCTAGTAATTTATTTATCTTCTTTATTTACAGGTAAATTTACAGGCTTCCTCGAAAGCCAGTCGAATCCGACTCTAGGGGTGCGGCGCTCATCTCCGTTTCCAAGCCGAAGAGCCAGTGCTGTCCGAAGGCGTTTCCGTGGTCATGTGGCCGGCATGACTAGATGCCGAGGCACACAGAACGCTGTTACCTTCCCACCAAAGCAGTACCCATTTATCTACTTGCAATGTCTTGCTTTCGAACTGCCAGGTTGGCAGGAGCTGGGGCCAGAGATGGGAGCTCACTCCGTCACGCAGCACTCGGGTCTCGAACTGCTGAACTACCGACGTTCTGGTCTGCAGTTCAGTGTCTTAACCATTGAGCCAATGCAGCCCCTTCCTTATGTAGACCCTGCCTTTCTCCTCGATGGGGACCCAAAAGCAGCTGACACCGCTCTCTTTTCCTCCACTTTATCCTCACAACCACCCTGTGAGGAAGGCTAGGCTGAGGCTGTGTGACTGGCCCAAGGCCACCCAGTGAGCTCCCACAGCAGACTGGGGACTCGACTCCGTCTCTCCCAGATCCTAGTCTTAACCAAGACACACAGCCGGCTCTCAGCGACAACACGCACACACGGCAAATGTGTCAGTGCTGGGTGGTCTCCCGTGTCCTCACGCCCAATAATTCTGAGCTCAGCATATCTGGCTACCTGCACGGAACCTGCAATGGCTGATGGCTTACATGTTGACCTTTTATAAAGAAATCCCCCCTGGGTACAAATAAAGACCTTTCCAAGGAAAGGGGAAATACAACTCCTTTCTGGTAGAGTCACTTTCTAAACTTCTGAAAATCAGTCAAAATTGGCTTAGGATAGAGATGTTTTCTCTCGCCTTCTTCCCAGATACTACAACTCCGTGAAATACATGCAGGAACAAAAAGTGCATGATTAACTTGTGGTACTCCCTGCCAGTGGGCATAATGAAGAGAAGAGGAGAAGAGATTGGATTTATACCCCACCCTTCACTACCCAAAGGAGTCTCAGAGCGCCTTACAAACTCCTTTCCCTCCCCCTCCCCACAACAGACACCCTGTGAGGGAGGTGGGGCTGAGAGAGCTCTGAGAGAAACTGCTCTTTTTCAAGGACAGCTGTGCCTGAACTTCAGCTTGCTCAAGGTCATCCAGCAGGTGCAACTGGAGGGGTGGGGAATCAAACCTGGTTCTCCCAGATTAGAGTCTGCGCACTTAACCACTACACCAAAATGACAGCCACTAGCGTGTCTTTAAGAGGAGATGAGACCCATTCACAGAGGAGAGGTCTACTAATGACCATTAGCAATGCTCCCACTAAGCCATGGAGTCTTGTGAGCAAAAATTTTACTTTGTGAGCTCCTGGCACTAAACCTGTGAGCAAGCGATTTGGCTACTGCATAAATCAGTTTGCTCTGGAGCCATTCTTCCTGAGCTAAGACAAAAATGTGTGAGCCAGAGGCTAAAAAACTCTGAGCTGGCTCATACTAACTCAGCTTAGAGGGAACACTGACCATTAGTGATGATGGCTGAAATGAAGCACCATGTTCAGAGGCACTGCAGCAACAAATGCAACCATGAGCCCCCATGCCCTACTGGTGGCTTTCTGGGACATCTGGTTGATTGGCTACTGGGTGAAACAGGATACTCGGTTAAAAAGGACCTCTGGTCCAACCCAGCAGGGCACTCCTTCCTCCTTAATTCTGTGTTCCTATGATTCACATCAAATTCTGTGGAAATCCAGCAACTGCTGGCTCTTCCATAAGTCCCTGAGAAGGAGGGAGAAGCCCCCAAACCCAAAACTAATTGTGCATGGAGCTGCACATGCAAGAAAAAAGTCTTGAGACGGAATTAACTTGCAGAGGCGTACCAAGCCCGCTCGCCAGCTTTGCATTCCAACCCCCTCTATGTCTATTTAATTAAAGGACCCTGCATAATTTGGACCCAATAGTGAGATTCATTAAAGGTAGCGAGCGCTACTAATTCTGCAACAGTTTTGCTAATGAAACTTCAGGGGCTGCTCAGAGGTGGAAAACACTGTCTTTGGGACACGAGCGAAAATGCAAAACACGTTGCGGGAGAAGACGACAAGCGGGGAATCACACCACCTAAACACCCTGGAAGTTGGTAGGACAGCATCCAACGGTTATCAGTCACCGAGGATTCAAAGTCTGCAATCCAGGGATCTGCTTTAGCATCTGTACAGTTTGGGAACTAAGAACAACCCCCAGAAATGACAACAGCAAGTTTGGAAACTACCTGGCCATCTAAGGGCAATCAGTTAAATTGAGTCCTGGAAGAAAAGGGGGAAAAGGCCTGAAGTGTGTCTTGTTGGTTTGCACTATGAGAACACCAGTGTGTTTTTAAAAGCCAAGTTTCTAGTCCTTATGACAGCGAGGAGAGTTTGATGGCACGTGAACAGTTCCCAGAGAACTCTCACAGCGGGGCAGGACAGACCTGCAGAGGGTGGACCTCCCATATCCTGAATGACCCCTTCTCCCACCATCCCAGCGACCATTCCACAATCCGTTCTGGCTGGTCTTCTCCAGGCCAAGAGCCAGTACGGCCTAACAGCTTAGAGGACAATTCTGGTTCAAATTTTGCCTTGGCCTCGAATCTCCTGAGAGTCCTGGGTAAGCTTCTCTCTTGCAGACGGCACCCTGACTTGCAATATGGGAACACTCACACTGGCCTACTTTGCAGGGTTGCTGTACCACTTGCAACGTAACGCAGCTTCAGACACAACGAAAAGCTAAGCCTCCTCTCCAGACCTTTCCCTCCCCGTTCTCCACCCTAGACGGCCCTCACTCTGATTGTTGGAAGAAGAATCCATGCAAGATAAGCGAAGCGTTTTCATCCCGACAAGATCTTTAAATGGGCTCATTTCCATGGGATCGGCACTCAGGTGGCGTCTCACTGCACTTGAGCCTCACAACCCGTGAAAAGCAGCCCAGAGCAAGATGCTACGCGAGCACAAGGTCCCCCGCAGAAAGGCCTGGTTTGGCCAGCATCGTGCCTCATCTTCTGGTGCGCACGGGGGCACCCCTCTGGCCGGCTCCTCAGCTAGGGTTTCGGCGAAATGCCAGACCGATTCCACACAAGCGCTGTGCCACGGTCGCGCCTCCCTTTGCCCCGCTTCTATCGGTCCATTTCCCACTTGAAGCCGTGCGGCTGCATTCTGACCCGCGGCTTCGCCCGATTTCCCCCGCGGTTTCGTGATCCTGTTTTTTGAGGATCACGAAACCGCAGGGAAAATCGGGCCAAGCTGCGGGTCAAAATGCAGCAGCGTGGCTTCGAGTGGGAAGTTGACCGATAGAAGCGCGGCAAAGGGAGGTGCGACCGCGGCGCAGTTCTTGTATGAAATCAGTCCCAATTTCTGGCGGAGTCAGAACAGCCTTAAAGCAGGGAGGGTGGAGGTAAGAAGAGACCCGCTCCCTCAACCTTTCCAGACCTACCTGAATGAGCCAATAAGTGCATCCGGAGGCGCAGACTGTCCAGGAACCTTTTCCCACATAATTCGCACCCGTATGTCTTCATGCCACTGTGCAGTTTCCTACGGAAAGACAAAACGACAAAGAGAGAGAGAGTCGGTGAGCCTTCTGTAGTGACTGGGCCAGGAATGGGGTGGCAGTGAGGGATTCAATGTGTCCGTGCTTTGCAGACGGCCTCACCAGCTCGAGTGGAAGTGCAGAGGTGGAATGGGGGGGGGGAGATGAAGACTTCAAGCCAGCACTGAAGGGGATTAGCTGGATTATTTCCACAGCCCCACCCTGCTCTGCTAGGGGGGCTTGCGGAGGAGCAATTCCCAGCATCGGAAATCTTGTCAGGGAGGAGAGGAAAGTGACGGCAGGAGCATGATTCTGCTACCGCAGGTCAGGATTTTAACGGATCTTGTCTGCTCCCAAAAGAAGCACCTAAAAAAGCCCGGGAAGGTTTTTAACCCACAGCTCAGGAGAGGAAGTCTAGCACAGGGGTGTCGAACACATTTGCTACGAGGGCCAGATCTGACATAACTGAGACCTTGTTGGGCCGGGCCATGAGTGTCACAAAATGTAATGCCAGGTAGCGGAGAGATAAACTTTATAAAGGACACAGACACAAAGGTTTTTTTAACTTAAAATAAAAACATGCTTAAAACATTAGCACTCTTGCAATATTTTGGTTATTTAACAGTGTCTGATAACGGACACCTCTTGCTCTGAATTACTGCATCAAAGTGTCTGTGCTGTTGCAATCCTGAGTATGCTGTTCAGGTGTGTATCTGTAAGCTGCAAACCTACGATGACGCAGCAGCAGCAGAACTGGAAGCAGAAGCAGAAGACAGCCAGTTTGACTGCGGGCCTGATAGAAGCCCTCTGGGCCGCATGTTTGACACCCCTGGTCTAGCAGATGGGGCTGGACTTGAGTTCAGATCCCTGCTCGGCTCCATGCTTGTTTTTGTAGCCTTGCTTATAGCCTGGGAACTTTAGTGACCAGACCAGGAGAAACCTTAGGCAGGCTCATGCTGGAACTTTTCAGCCTGTTGGTGCCCTGCCTTTCTGGACGTCTGGCAGGTAGGGTTGCCACCTCTGGGCAGGCAAATACCTGGAGATTTGGTGGGTGGAGCTCAGGGAGGGGGGGCAGGCGAGGGGAGTGCTTTTGCACATTTGTAAAGCATTGTGGGGCGGACCGGGCAAAGAGGAGGAAACAGAGACGTAAACAGAACGATAGGGATCAGTGCATCGAAAGATTGATTCCCCTGCTTCCGTCTCTGCGACTAACCCCAGGCTGCGAATCGAGACACTTCCCAAGCCAAGTGATGGAAGGCCCCCATCCAAGGCCCTTCTGGCCGGGAGGGCGCACTGTCCCCTTTATAGAGCAGCTGCCCACGCAAGAGTGAATTGGCAAGTCCCCCCGCCATTTGTCAGGCCCAAATGATATTTAGCAGACTCCACTCGGCCCCAAGATGGGCGGCAAAATTGCCTGGATTAGAAAGAGGAAGAAAGATCCAACTTTGTCATCCCTAATACCTGTCAGTAAAATCTACCCATTCATCCGTCCGCACACAAACATCCTCCCGTGTCAAAGGTCTGCAAACCAGCAGGTGTGCAAACCTTGCAAAACTCGGAGCGTAAGGAACGGCACCACCCAAGTATCCCTTCAAATACAGCTCTTTATTAACAGCCAGCCTCAAAATGATGGAGACACACCAGTGTGTAGCCTAGAGATATGCCCAGCTGTTCTGAACTTGCTTTGGATCTGGACTGGGGCGGGAGAGATACCCACCCAAACTAGCACACGGTTCAGGTTTTTGCTCAGTACAATTCCGAGTTCAAATTTAGGCTCATGGTACACCTGGGAATGCCATGGGTTTCCCAGAGCTCCTCCCACCTGCCCCATTACCCCCTCCAACCTGTGGTCACGTAAGAAGAAGGCAGAGTCTCCTTGCCTTCCGCTGCCCTCCCTCCTCTCGCAATGTCTCAGAGACGGTTTTGGCAACTGCTAAAATGCCCGGTGCCCCCTGGCTAATGTCTTCCCCAGGATTTGTGGGGAAGGGTGACAGGCAATGCTCCCTCTAAACTGTGGAGTCTTGTGAGCAAGAATTCTGCTTTGTGAGCAAGCAATTTGGCTGCTGCACAAATCAGTTTGCTCTGGAGCCATCCTTCCTGAGCTAAGACAGAAATGTGTGAGCCGGAGGCTAAAAAGCTGTGAGCTAGCTCACACTGACTCAGCTGAGAGGGAACACTGGTGACAGGCAGTGCTTGAGCCACAGAGAGAGGACAGGAAGAAGGGGAGGGGAGGGGCTGTATACTTCCTGTCCATCAGCCCCCCCCCACACACACACACAGGAGCAGGAAAAGTGAGTTTGGGAAAATGAGGAGAAGGGAAGGAAGAGTCCCTTGGCCTCTGATGCACACATGAATACAGGAAGCTGCCCTATGTTGAATCAGACCTTGGTCCATCAAGCTCAGTTTGGTGCAGTGGTTAAGTGTGTGGACTCTAATCTGGGAGAACCGGGTTTGATTCCCCACTCCTCCGCTTGCACCTGCTGATGTGACCTTGGGTCAGTCACAAGCTCTGGCACAGCTGTCCTTGAAAAAGAGCAGTTTGTGTCAGAGCTCTCTCAGCCCCACCCACCTCACAGGGTGTCTGTTGTGGGGAGGGGAAGGGAAAGGAGTTTGTCAGCCGCTCTGAGACACCTTTGGGTAGTGAAGGGCGGGATATAAATCCAATCTCTTCTTCTTCTTCTTCTTCTATTTAGAAGAAGAAGAAGAAGAAGAAGAAGAGAGAGAGAGAAGAGAAGAAGAAGAAGAAGAAGAAGAAGAAGAAGAAGAAGAAGAAGAAGAAGAAGAAGAAGAAGAAGAAGAAGAAGAAGAAGAAGAAGAAGAAGAAGAAGAAGAAGAGAGAGAAGAGAAGAAGAGATTGGATTTATATCCTGCCCTTCACTACCCAAGGGAGTCTCAGAGCGGCTTACAATCTCCTTTCCCTTCCCCTCCCCACGACAGGCACCCTGTGAGGTAGGCGGGGCTGAGTGACAGAAACTGCTCTTTTTCAAGGACAGCTCTGACCGAACTATGGCTGGCCCAAGGTCATCCAGCAGGTGCAAGTGGAGGAGTGGGGAATCAAACCCGGTTCTCCCAGATCAGAGTCCGCACACTTCACCACTACACCAAACTCTCCAGAGTCTCAGTTTCCCATCACTTTCTACCTCGCCTTTTAACTGGAGGTGTTGGGGATTGAACCTGGGACCTTCTACGTGCAAAGCAGAGGCTCTTCTACTGAGCCACAACCCAGGAATCTAGGTGAAGCCGCCTTCTGCTGAGTCAGACGCTTGGTCCCTCGAGGTCAGCATTGTCTACTCAGACTGGCATTCCAGGGCCTTCCACATCACCTACCACCTGATTGTTTTAGGTGGAGATGCTAGGGATTGAACCTGGGACTTGCAGCATGCCTGACAGATGCTCTACCACTGAGCCATGGTCTCCACACAATGCAAGCAAGAGAAGAATGGGCAGTATAATGCTCACATAGTGAAGGTGGCCATTACAAGCCCCTGAAGTTCATATTCCGAACACAGGGAGTCGGAGTCTGAGATGAGTCTCGCAACTCATGCAGATTGTTGTTCCTGTCCTTCTTAAACTAGCCACTTGGCTGGAAGGGAAGGACACGAGGGGGTATCTCTTGCAGACTCCCCAGGTTAAAACCGTAAGCCCTGGCAGGCCAGTATGTAGAAGGTCGTTTCACTCATCACTTAGTGGAAATCTGGGCACGTCGAACTCGCCAGAGAATCCATGTTTGCAAAACTGTATGTTGCACACATATTTTTACATTTTCAAAGATATGTTTAAAAAGTTGTAATGGGCACGCTCCAGCCAATTGAAAGCACTTTTGCAGCACTTTTGCAGCACTTTTCAGCCTCACTGACACAGAAGAGGGAAAAACTGTGCAAATGGTAAATTGCCCCTTGGAATCCATAGGATTTAAGAATGTTCAGCTTTGGATGGATCATTCTCAAAGTGTCAAATGGCTCATAGCATAGAATCCAAAGGTCAGCAAAAATAATCCTGGAGTCTGATACTTCTCAAACCCTCATTTTTACGTTTCCAAATGGGTTCAAACATGAAAAAGAGACAAGGAAATCCACTTATGTCTCCAATCCAGCAGTAGCAGAGGAATATCTAGAGATGACACAATTTCACCAAAAGTGAAATATGGAGCAGAGGTCCCTCAGTGGCTCTTAGCCACAAGGTATAGACAGGAACTCTCAGTCTGGGGCAAGGGATGCTCTGTATTCTTGGTGCTGGGTGGGGCAACAGTGGGAGGGCTTCTAGTGTCCCGGCCCCACTGCTGGACCTCCTGATGGCCCCTGGTATCTTTGGCCACTGTGTGACGGAGTGTTGGACTGGATGGGCCTTTGGCCTGATCCAACATTGGCTTCTCTTATGTTATGTTAAAAGTGAAATTTCAGTGTGAATTTCCAGGTTCTTGCTTGAACGAAAGGTTCAAGAAATTCTGAGGTGTGCCAGAATTCTAATAAGGAGATTCCGGTTTCCACAGAAAGAGCTCTGCCCCTCCTGTCCCCGCATAACGGTTGGGAGAGAGTCGCTTTGCTAAAGGGCATCAAACGCTGCTATTTTAAAAAGTGAGCAGAGCTGTACACTCCAGCAGCAGAGAGAACAGCCATTAAAAAAAAAGCTGGCTTTCCTTTAAAAAATCAAACCCAAACCACACATGAGCAGTTGTTTGGCCAGCCAGAATTATGAAAAAAAACACCATTCGGCAAGGGAAAACAAGTATTCCTGTTCTTGGATTATTTCATAATGTCAGAGGATGATGCATTTATCATTTCTTAGGAACAACGCAGCAGGCGCTGAAGCTGGCACGAGGACTGAAGGAGCGCACGCCAGCCAAGTCTGCCGGAGTTTCTAAGAAGAGAGATCAGATCATAAGACACAAACACCATCCAGGGCCCCCCCCCCCAGCACGGGAAACAACCCACGGGCAGGGTATCAAGGAACGGGGGTCTCCTCTGGGAGATGATGGCACCTCAAACTATGGTTGTCCCTTACTGGG